CACACACACACACACACACACACACACACACACACACACACACACACACACACACACACACACACACACGTGTATAATATAATATCCCATTATATCCTGCATGGATTCAGCCCCTGGATCCAGATTAGTCTGAGATATTTTGTCTGGGACGTCCTGATGATGTTTCACAGTCTGATTCGTTTTTGCTGATATGAAGAGAAAAGCTGAAGAACAATCACCCAGTTTATTCTCCTCTCGCTTGGAGCTGAGCTGCTAAACAATAAGTGTTTGGGAAAAAAAATCATCATCTGGATGAACAAATCGATCATGTGACCCTGTGACAGAGGGCGAAAAAAGTTGTTAGGTTTTAGCTAAGAATTCAAATCTGAGTTCAACAGTGAGCGCTCAGTTTTTACGGACTCAGGAAGTGAATTTCCTGCTCATCGTCTCCACTAATGTTTCAGCAGCTTTAGCCATTTCCATGTTAGCTTCGTTTATCAGCACCAGAGGTTTCCTTTGATTAACAGGAAGAAGCGGGTTCAGATTTTATGAATTAAAAATGAACCGTTAGCTTTGAGAAGCAACTCTGCTTTAAACTTTGTTCTGTGGGAGTGCCTGCAGGTCTGCAGGTGGAGTGCATAAATCCAGCTCTGCATATGGACTCCACCACCCAGCATCATTTCACACTTTAAACTGTGATGCACGCTGACAGCAGCTCCACCTGACCTGCATTATCAGATCCGTCTGTGCAGACTCAGCAACTGGACGCTGGGTGGATGCTATGGGCATCCATCTGGGCTGCACCCTGAGGACCAAAATCAACCAAATCTGCAGATGGATCAGTGTGCATGCTTGTTGCAGGTGTGCGCTGCAGATATGTTAAACTGCGCAGCAAGATGAGTGATGTTGACTAAAATAAAGAACACTTCTAACAAAATTCATGCTAGTGGTGGTTCCCTCACGTCATACTCACGTTTGGTGCATCTCCTAGTTTTAGGCGACAGCATCCATCCAGCACAGCAGCGATCTCCACATACTCGAGGCCTGCAGAGAAAGGAGGCGTTTTAAACTTTAACACTTGATTTAGAAGTAATAAAAGGTAAAAAACATTCCCTCCTTACAAACAGGCAGTCCGCTATTTGCGGCTGGGTTCACGGTCTTCCAATAAAACATTTAAACATTCCCAGTAAACCGTTACCTCGCAGGTCTTCTGGAAAAAGGAGTCAATTCACAGGCAAACCTTGGATCAAGAGCCGCTGCCCCTCATCAAAGTGACGGGCCAGTGTGACTCCACAGCTGTGTGCAACAGGAAGTGTGAGGGAAACCAGAGAAAGGATTTGTTTGAAAGCTTAACACAAGCAGTCAGCTGATCAAAGGTGTTGGATCACCCTGCAGAGAAAACATGATCCCAAACAGCCAATCAGAGTACTAAAGACACTGAATCCTGAGCATTAGGGTTCGTGGGTTTTTTCCGAGACAATTGCTCTAAATCCAAAACTGAGTCTGAGATTAACTCAAATCTAGAACGATGAAACCAAAGTGGAAATCACTCTAGAAACACTTCCCAAAGACAAAAGGTCTTTGTGAGTCTTTCTGGCATCGAGACCACTTAAATCCACCCAAGAACTCTTCCACACCAGGGGAGCTGGTTCTAGGCTGTTGTCCATTGGTACAAGATGCTCCAAAACCAGAGATTAAATATCATTGAAGTCTATTTTACTCACATTCACATTAAAAGTGAAGAAACTGAGACAGTCTGAACAGCAAGTTTCCAAGAGGTCCCAAAACCAAGTCCTGAAGTGGTCAAACTCTGTGCAACACAAGTTATGGAGTCAGTCTGAGGTCACACAAAGACCCGAAGATGAGCAGCCAAAAAGTAAATGGGCAAGTTCTCTGGTGCATATTTTGGATGGAGACATTTGTGTGTTAGGCTACACTTTTGGGAAATGCCACTGATGCTTCTCCACTGAAAATAAGTGGAACTAGTTCTAGATTTTAAAGAACGCTGTGGGAGTCGTGGTAACTGTGGGAAGTTCTCCAATATTCATTAACAGAGAAAGTTCTGTCTCGGCAGCAACTTCACTGCAATCCTTTGAAGCCAAGTCCGTAGATCAGTCTGAAAACTGGTCTTTGTGCACCTGGAGACAGCTTCGAAAACATCAAACATCAAATACTGATCCAGTTCTCGCTTTGCATCTTTTTGCATGAACGTAACAGAAACACAACTTTATGTTAAACATCTATAATGCAGCTGAAAAAGGCTTAAGAACAATCCGGGCTGCAGGCTTGCTTCAAGAACATCTCGGTATCCCAAGGAAGTGGATGTGGAGGGGAATGTGAGGGTATCTCTGTGACCTGGGTAAGTGGGAGAAAATTGATTATATATATTGTTTAGGCTGGAGATCTTCTGATGTTCAGACATGAAAGCAACAAGGCGGTCTAACAGATATAACTCTGACAGCGATGAATACACCGGGCTCGGTCTTGGTTCGGGTTTCGGGGGCGGCGGCAGAGATGAGACGCTGTTTGTTAAATGTAGCCGACCAAGTGTGGACACAGCTTCTCTGCAGAGGATTTAATCATTACTCACAGCGTACCGGTCGTATTGTAGCAGCACAGGAGGCCCCACTAACTCACACCGGGATCAGTGTGTGTCCAAACAAAGATTTAGCATTACCACACATACAGTCCTGAACCTGTATACACACAGACGGGTGAGTCCGGAGAGAGGCGCAGGGGTACAAGTTAGAGTAAAGACCCCTTCATACAGGAACGGCAGCTGATAGAAATAAGCATGTCGCAAGATTTCTGCTGGTTCACCAGATTAAATTTAAGACTTTAAGACCTTTAATACAAAGACATTCGAAGGATTTTCCTGAGTCTGCAAAGCACGACAAAAAGCTCAGCGTAAATACGTTTTGTTGATGCTTTCACCTGCAGCCTTAGAGCAACACAATCATCGAATAATCCCCAAGTACTCAAACTGCAGAATAATCTGAAGTGTCTGATCATTTCCAGAACCATATTTGCATGATCTGCGGTTTAAAATCATCCTTCTTTATCTTATACTGGAACTGTGTGTCCTCTCTCTGAAACAAGTGTTTTAGCGTCTCCCACTTTAAAACAGCTTTCACCTGATCAAATATGATGATCCACAATAGCCAGCAAGTGAAAGTTAAAGCTCTGATTTCAGAGTCAATCGAATAAATAAAAATCGAAACACATTCAGTTTAGTAGAAACACATCAGAAGCTAAAAATAAATCTTTCCTCAGGAAAGCGACTGAGAACAAATCGTCCTACAAACAGAGTAATGACCCTCCTCCAGGTCATGCAGACCTGCAGACAGCATTTCATTTTGCAGCAGCTTTTATAAAATTAACTGTTTCTCAAACAACTAATCAGTCATCTAATCGCTGCACTTTAAGGAAACAAGGGATTAATGAAGTTAAGCTGCCAACAATAACACGGTGACGGTCATACGAGACTCTTTCTGGGGACGAAGCACAGTGCTGAATCTGAATGAGTGTTTTTATATTTTCATTACAAGCTGTTCTGTTAAAATGACTACAACCTGTGCCACGTCAGGTGCAGGGGGAGGGGCATAAACACACACACACACGGTTGTTTCACTGACTTTTCGGGGACATTATCCCAGAGTTTCACCAACACCAAAGACCTACAAGAATGACCCAGAAGCCAGGAAGGAGCCCGAGTCGGCTCGAGTCAGGGAGTCCACAGCTGCTCTGAAACCACGAGCCTGTGTTTGCTTCCTACGCTCTCAGACACTTTGAGCTTCAAAGAATCTGCTTTAGCCTTCAGACACTGAGCAGCTTGTTGGCCTCCACATTTCATCCACAAAGAAAACTACAAACACAAAGCTCGCCCTCAGTCAGTCTGAGCTTTCTCCGTCCTTTATTAACATGTAGGGTTTTTGGTATTTCCTGTCGTACATCTCCTGTTCCAGAGGGAAACGCTCATTTTAAACATGACCAAAACTTTAAATACTGATGTCGGTGTAGCTTCAGACTTCTCTTAACACTCAGTTTCTTACAGTTTTTTCTACTCTTGGATCTGTGAGGTCATAGAAAAGGCATAGCTCTAGTACGGTCACCTCATGTTGAGAAGCTCCACCCACCTAATATCTATGAGGGGCAACCAATCAGAAGAAAGATCCTTTGTGGGGACAGAAATGAAAACAGCTTGTTTCAGATAGAGAATGAACTGACGGGCTGCATCAAGGCCCAGAACGACATAAAGAGGGATTATTTTAAACTGTGACTCATGCAAAGCTGCTCTAACAGAGTCCAAGAAAAAAATATGGAACTGAAATAAACAGAATAGATTCACACAGAAATATGTGTGCTAATACACACATTCATACAAAGAAACTTAATATAAGCAGGAAAATGTAAAAGTATCGATACAGGACAAAAATAAAGGTAAACACAGTGTTGAGCATTTAATTACGCAAATAAAATCAAACAAAAACTCGACTTTCTGATTGCTACGTGGACGCAGAGCAGAGCTGCTGTCATTAAACTGATCTACGCTGGTTTTAGTCGCAGCAGCTTCTTCTTCTTCTGTTTGAGATTAAACCGGTGTCAGCAGCAGGGAGGCTTTAAGATGTTTCAGAGTCAGCAGAATCACAGACAGACGTGTGCTGTCCTACACGCTAAGTATTAACATGTTTTATATACGACTCTGTCAGACAGCATCTCCACCATCAGCCGGCTTCTCTCCTCAGCAGATGTTGCTGTAACGTGGTTCCTGCTGCAGACACTCGGATCATTCAACGTGCAGCATGTGCACGGTGAGAAAAGAAAAGTGGACTTTGTGATGTCTGGCAGATTATCAGCAGAACTTCTTTGATTTGTACAGAAAATCCTTCAAGGATTTTGACTTTTGAATGTTTGCTGCTGAAATTAATGCAACTCTGCAATAAGCAGCATTGTCTTCTTCTGTGGTTTTATGTAGAAGGACCCTCTGCAGACTCAGCAGAAGAAGACTTTTAATGTATTTATCTCACAGCAAACAAACAATGTTTGTTATAAAGAGTTTGTCAGAAGCAAAGTGGCAGATGCTAATGTATGCTAACACGAACACCAAACTCCCCACCTTCTTCTGATTGGCCAGCTTACCAACCTCACTGCGACAGGAGTGACTACCAACTCGCACTCTCCCATTTTACCTGAGCACACCTGCACTTCACCACACAATAACACACAAAATTACACCACATACATGTTGAAGGTCATGTGATCACATCACGTGACAACAATTTCCAATCAAATTAAAAAGATCACTTCATGGGTCAAAGCACCAAAAACAAAGCAAATCAGCTTTACGTAGAGTGTGGGACCAAAAAACGTTGTGTGTACGTTTCATCATGTAGAGCGTTTGGAGAGCATGACGCTAAATCAGCCTCTTCCTCTGACAGCACGCTGAAGCCAACGAGGCCTGCTTCTACACAAACATGTCTGCTTTCCCCCCTTAAACCGGCTCTGTTTAAACACACACTGTTTATAAGGACGATAACCCCGACCTGAGCCTGAATCTACCCCTAAACCCGCACGGTCAACACACACACACACACACACACACACACACACACACACACACACACACACACACATTCCTGAGCTGCCTTACGGTCACACTACATCACAGACAGGTAGACCAGATGCTCTCAGACATGTTGTTCAGGGTAATCCAGCTGTTTTAATGTGTCCAGCACCTGGAAAGCAGCCTCACCTGAGGCCTGCACGATGAAGCAGGACTTTGGTCTTATCCATAAATATGAATGTAAGGATTTCAAAAATAAGAACAGCATAACATGTTTTGCATCGAATATGAACAGAGACATCAAACATCTAGTTTGATAAAAATATTTTTGAGCTTTAATATCTGTAATTCTGTTCATGTCGACTGTTTTAAAGATATCAGTCCCCTCCTGCAAACTTGAGCTGCCTACAGCTGTCCAAATCCATCTTCAAGCAGCTCTACGTGCCCAAAGTGCTCCCACAAACATCTGTGCATTCTCCTGATGGGAGGTGGTCAGCTCCTCCCAGACCTGGGTCAGGGCATCCGTGAGCTCCTGCGGTGCAATACACAAACCTCACCTCTGGATTCAGGTCTGAGGAGCATGAGCGCCGATCGGTGGCATCAATGCCTTCGTCATCAAAGAAATGCCTGCACACTCTGAGGCCAGGCATCGTCCTCCACCAGGAGGGGTCTGGGGCCTGCTGCAGGTGGACCCGGCCTGACAGAGTCTGAGGATTTCATGCTGGTTTCTAAGGACACTCAGGTACCGGTAGCTAACACCTGGAGGTCTGTGGGACCGTCCGAGGATTTTCCAGGGTGCCAAGCCGGTCCTGCTGGATGTGGCTGAAGGGTCGTAACGTTCACCGCGGCGTCTCCAGACTCTGTCTCTTGTGCTCAGTGTGAGCCTGCTCTCATCCACTAGAGCTGGACCTGTTGGTTCTGCACAGTGATGTGAGCAAAGATTCCCGTGCAGCAGGTTTGGCCCTCCTGCAGTCTGATTCTGACAGTCAGTCGGTCAGAAACGTGCACGAGGAGCACGATGGAGGTCTTACTGTAGCATTCGTGCAGTGCTCCTCCTGCTCCTCAGGGAGATGCTCTTCCACAGCTCCCGTGGACACAGAGGAGGAGCCGGTGCACCTGTGCAGCAGGTCCCAGCAGTTGGATGACACCAGCAGAGCACAAAGCAGAACTAGAGAGAAATCGGTCAGGATGAATAATACCTGCACAACCACTCACCTGAGGGTCACACCTGCACAGCCTGAAGCTGAAGTCCTGTTGTGTCTGTGATGATAGAGATTTAAACAGCAGACAGCACACCTGCGGGACTCGCTGTGATGACAAGCCAACACAAAGCACACAACCAAAGCTCCTCACTCAGCTGAGCCTGTTTACACACGGGTGTGACGTCACCGTGACCAGGACACACAAAGTTTTTTGTTCTCTCCTCTCAGATGATTTCAGACATGAAGTGAGGCGCAGACCGACAGCAGCCCGGCTGATTATAAGTGAGTTATTTGGGTTGGTGGTGTGGAATGTGACGGTGATGGTCATATGTGCGGTGCTCACCCTCTCGGAGCTGCTCTCCGGCGGTCCCCGGGCTTCCCTCCGCTCCCCCGCGGTGCTGCCGTGGTTGTGCCCGCGCTCAGCCTCCTCCCCCCGGCCGGGCTCGTCTCCAGTCCCGCGTGCTGTTGTGCTGCGGAGCAGAGCGCTGCAGCCCAGCAGGTCCAGAGGCAGAGTTCACAGAGCCGCATGTTCTCCGCAGGAGCTCCGAGATCAGCTGCAGCTGAGAGGTTCAGGCTCTCTGTCAGTGTGGGACATCCGAACACCCACAGCCGCTGCTGCCGCCAGCCAACTGGAAGAGAGCAGCAGCCAAGCAGCCAATGAGAGGCCAGAGGCGGGCGAAGGAGGCAAGGAGGGAAGGAAAGGAGGGAGAGGAGTGTGCTGTGGAGAGCCTGTGCTGATGGTCTTCTGCGGTGGCTGTTCTCTGGCACCAGAGGGTGCCATCACAAACACCTGACTGTGTGTGTGTGTGTGTGTGTGTGTGTGTGTGTGTGTGTGTGTGTGTGTGTGTGTGTGTGTTAACTTGCTTTTCACATCTCTCCCTTCATGCAGTGATCTCTGCTTTCACTCTATATTCTGGTCATGTCCACTTTTCAACCAATCAGGATTCAGCCTCTGCATCATTGTAGGGTCTTCACCTCACAATAGGCTTTTTGAGGAGGCCGAAGAGCTTATTGCGATTTGGTGCTACATAAAAAAACTGAACTGAATGGGCTGTCAGCCTTCTGCAGGACTGCACGCGAGCACGTCTGCGTCGGCTGCACACCTGTCTGCACAGACAAATAAGACACAAATGCAGCACCGTAACTTCAGCATTACTGTGTAAGCTGTCAGCAGCCTGGGATCAACAAATAGTTCTTAAGTCTTTTATCAAATGCGTGTTTTACTCGTTTTATGACATGTAACCTCAGTTTCTGTCAGGATGAAGCTGAACCATCGCTTATTCAGATGCCCCTCTGTGTGTCAGTGATTGACAGACCCATGAGGTTATCCTCACTTACTTAAGTTAAGATCAGATTAAGATCTGACCGGGGAGTTTCCTGACTATGGATCCAAAACACTGATCTGTAACATGGACAGCTGCAGGAGTTATGGATGGACTGGTTCTTATTTACTCTCTAGTCAAGCACTCAAAGCACTTTATACAGCACGCCGCATTCACACAGGCACATTTGCTTTTCCCAACTTAGTGCTTCCCAGCATTCACACTCCGATGGATGCATCAGTATCTTGCCCAAGGATCTTTGGCTGGTGCAGTCAGGGATAGACCACCAACCTTCTGATTAGCAGACGAATACACACTCCCTGCTGATCCACAGAACACTGTAAATACAGTAAATTCTGATGTTTGTGAATGCTCTTTATTATTTCACAGAAACATGTAAAACATAATTAAATAAAACCTAATGTAGCAAAATATGTGCAACTGCTAAAACTTTAGGTCCTTATTGCGGGTTAAACGTAACGATGCTATGGAAACGAAGTTGTCTTTTTTAGAGCTTCCTTCACAGACTTCCGGACATTTGCAGCTCGGATATTTTGAAGCTTTTGTTTTGAAAGCAGCGGCCGGAAGTAGGTTGTGTGTAGCCGAGTGTTGCTAATGCAGGGCTAGCTCTGAGGCTGCAGATGAAGAACAGTTCCTGCTGCAAAAGAAGCGACAGCGGGTCTTTAGCACAGTTTGGCCCGCTTTAATAATCGTGTCGGTTTAACACGAACTGGGTCAGCTCACACACCCGGACACGGAGAGCTGGGGCAGGAGTGGCGGTTCGCTCAGGTATCCGGGTTCGTTAGCTTGTTGCGGGGCAGCGGGATGGATCTGTTCGACGATCTGCCGGAACCGACTCAGACCTCCGGTGAGTTAACGGGAAGGTTTGACGTTAGCAGCAGGGCTAAGGCTCCATCACAGAGCCGAGTGAGCTAACGTTAGCGTTACTGCTGCGGGAGCCGTGCTTCAGTTCACACCCCACAGACATGACTGATCGATTACGCATCGATTCATCGGTCAGCAGCTGCAGGTTTCATTAGCTCAGCGACAGTTTTTCACCTCTAAAATGTGAAATCTGACTGTATAAAAACACTAAATAGTCAGCAAAGCACCGGGAAAATGAAAAGTGACGTATTTCCTTCCATAACGTGGTTGTAGTGAAATACATTTTTTTTCTAAAACTCGATATATCCGCGTAAACTCGCAGTTATTGATCTCTTTGATTATTAATAACTGGTATCAGTGAGGAACAGCCAGACAGGCTGTCTCTGAATCATCACCATCTTATCATCTCACCCCCCCTCTCCTCCTCTGCATGTACGTCCCTCCTCTGCACATGCGCAGACCATCTCACCCTTAGATGCTCCTGGCCTCACTTTCCATATCAGTCGCGGCTCTTTACCGTTCCTGCTCTCACCTCCACACTCCTACCTTTCTTTCTGTCTGGCTGCCCTCAAACACACCTTCCTCCTCCTCTTCCTCCTCCTCCATCTTTATCCAGCAGGAGGATGTTTTCCACCAGCACCCTTTGCAAACGGACAAAAACCCGTAGCTGGTGCTCCTAAACAGGTCTATGAATTCAATAAAAGTATAAAGAAAAGTGTGAAATTCCACGAGCTGAGATGTGGAGTGTTTGATTTTGGTGATGTTAGACTGTGATGAATGCAGGAACAAACGCAGGTAAATGGCGAGGGTTGTGTCAGGAAGGACATCGGGCTAATGTTTGATGCGATTCCTCCTCAGGTCCTGCTCTAGCACCGCTCACAACTCCACCCCCAACCACCACAGAAGAAGAGGAGGAGGAGGAGAAAAGGTTGAAACGGAAACGAGATGAAGCACACAGGGAGGAGGAGGTCAAGAAAGTTTGCAAAGAAGGTCTTCAGCTGTTCCACCACAATGTTTGTTTGCTTCTTTTCCTCCAATCAGACGCGAGCACACGTGAATACGACTCGCAGAGGCGAGGGCGGACGCCGCCGGTCTCACGCTCTCTTTGTGTGTCTAGGCCTCCCAGTGCTCAGAGGATACGTGGCGGCGAGGCGTGGCGAGCGCGAGGAGATGCAGGACGCTCACGTGCTGCTGCCGGACATGAGCGGCTGTCTGTCCACGCTGCCAGGAAACGTGTAAGAGGAAGTCACGCCCACCAATCATGATCGGTCACAGCTCCTCCGTGTGGTCTCTCTGACGTCATGTCTTTGTCTGCAGGTCCCGAGTTTCGTATTTCGCCGTGTTCGACGGCCATGGCGGCGCTCGAGCCTCTGGATTCGCCGCTGAGAACCTCCATCACACTCTCGCCAAGAAGTTCCCCACAGGTGAGTTTCCTCCACGCTGTTCACGACCCGCAGTGGTCAATCCCCCCTCGCTCTTATTTTGAAAGTCCAGTTGCTGCTGTCTCCTGTTTCCCTGCTCGCTGTGCGGTCATAGACGTGATTGGATGGATGATGGATGAGGCAGCTGCTTGTTTTAATGCCGCAGTAATAATAGTGATGTGAAAACTGACATAAATCACGTTTAATTATTAGAAGAATTAAACTGCTTTAATATCACGTCATGTCCACAAGAGGGCGCAGTAGTCCAGAGAGACCCAGAGTCATCTGTAAGTTTACTTTGACATAAACGTGCGAGAGAGCCGTGGTGCCTTCTCATTGATTAAAGCACGTCGTCTCTTTCAGGAGATGCTGAAAACGCAGACAAGCTGATTAAGAGGTGTCTCCTGGACACGTTCAAGCAGACCGACGAAGACTTCCTGAAGAAGGCCTCGAGCCAGTAAGACTCTGAGCGCCAGTGTGCCGCAGCTGTTTTTAAATGTGGAGCAGGAAAAGCTGACGAGCTGTTTGTGTGGACAGGAAACCGGCGTGGAAGGACGGCTCCACGGCCACCTGCGTGCTGGTGGTGGACGACATGGTGTACGTGGCCAACCTGGGAGACAGCAGGGTGAGCCGGCGTTTCTTCACCTCCACCTGCGCTTCTTTTTCTTCCTGTCTTAAGCTTCCTGCTGCGCCGTTTCCGTGTCTGCAGGCAGTCATGTGTCGGATGGAGGCGGCGGCAGACGGACAGAGGAGGTCGCTGACTCTGGTGCTCAGTAAGGAGCACAACCCGACCATCTACGAGGAGAGGATGAGGATCCAGAGAGCCGGCGGCACCGTCAGGTCCGAATCCTTGCCGTCCTCCACCAGCGCCTCTCGGCCTCAGCTAACGGTGATGTGTTCGTGTCTCCGCAGGGATGGCCGCGTGCTCGGTGTCCTGGAGGTGTCTCGCTCCATCGGGGACGGTCAGTACAAACGCTGTGGCGTCATTTCGACCCCCGACCTGAGGAGGTGTCAGCTCACGCCCAATGACAGGTAAGGAGAGACCAAAAGGTGCTCCACGAATGTAGAAACAGAATCGTGACGTTTAAAACAGCCTGGTCTGTGTACCTGAGCTCACCTGAGCATCAGTGTAGTGACAGTGAAGGTGGAGCTACATCAGTGCACAGCCCGTTGGCGCCAATGAGAGAGTGATGGAGAGTTCACTAACTAGAAATAAAACGTGTTTAATACATAAGATGCTGCACAGTAGAAACAGCTGGATTTGGACCTAAACAGCTTTGGTTTGCTGTGATCTGGGAGGCAGGTGTGTGAGCACTGTCCCTGCTCTCTGCAGGTTCCTCATCCTGGCCTGTGACGGCCTGTTCAAAGTGTTCTCAGCCGACGAAGCCGTGAAGTTCGTCCTCGGCGTCCTCCAGGTATCAGCCCGTCCTCCTTAACACCACAAATCACAAGTCGCTGCGTCAGCAGGAAGTGCGACGGATGAGTGTAACAAAATAAGAGCGCAGATTAGCTTCATGTAACTTTGGATTGTTTTTCATCTGTGAGGGTGTAATCTGTCACCCAGGTAATCTAAGGAGCTCAGGAAGAGAAGCAACCGTTTTTTTAGGTTTCATGAAGACGTTTGACCTCTCACTGTAGGATGGTGGAAGCTGGACCCTTAATCGAATCGAGGAGGGGGCCCAAGGGTCCATCTTTCACCATCTCACAGTGAGAGGTGAGACGTCTTCATGACACTTAAAGAAACAGTCGCTTTCCTTCCTGAGCTCCTTTAGGCTACATGTTCAATCGAGGCTCTGCGTCATAGTTTAGACTTATATGTATGTTTTAGAAAAAGAGACTGTATGCAAAAGATGGAGACACCCACTGCGACATCACCCACTGGTTTTGGCCTTAATCCAGTTAAACATGTGAGTTCTGCTGGGTGACCTTCATCCTCCTCTTCATGCCTACAGGACGGGAGCAAAGAGAAGGGGGCGGGGCAGATGGAGGAGGAGCGGCGGTTCGAGGCCGCCTGTCAGCAGCTGGCAAGCGAGGCGGTCAGACGAGGCTGCGCTGACAACGTCACTGTGATTCTGGTTTCTATTGGCTACTGAACTCACCGTCCTCATCTTTGTTTCTGTGTTCTTGCTGCTGTAACGTCCGCTTCTTTTACAATAAAAACATTTATTTTCCGTCTCCATCAGCTGATTTGTCCCGTCAGTGTTTGAATTTGTTAACTTTATTAACACAAACGGGACATAAAGAGGAAACGCATCAGACCGTGCAGCCCGATCATTAAACAACACAGCAGGGACAGGTTTTTTTCTTCTTCTGTGATGCAACAAAAAATCCAGCTGGATGAAGAAAACCTTTCAAATTCTAATTTTATTTGTCTCATGCACAGTATGATATGCAGTGAAATGCTTACACAACTGCTCGTGGCCTAAAGAAACAGAAAAGAAAAGGCTATGAATAAGATAGGAAATAAATATGAAAATTAAAAAGGGTCAATTTAACTAGGAAGGAATAAAATATAAATTAAAGTTGAAAATAAAATAACTATAAACAAAATACACAGTATAGAAATATATAGGAATGTATGAAAAAATATAAATATATATATACAATAACAGCAACTGTACAGTATTAAGTGGAAATGAAGAACTATAATGTCCAGTGTTGTGCGATCCACATTTGTAAGTCTTTTGCAGTGCAAATATGCTTAAAGTGATTTAGTGATGAAGTGATTCGATTAGATGTTCAATGTTTCATCGTAACTTCTGATAAAAAGCTATGTACGCCATTTTTTCTGCCAATAAACAGGAAACGAAAGGTGAAATTATGCTGGTGAAAGTCAAACGTTTCACGTTGTTGGCCTCGAAAGATTACGTGCATTTTATTCCTCACAGAAGTCGGTTTGCAGCAGCGAAAAACACTGAAAACATGCAAACATCTTTTTTTAAAAGAGATTTGAAACTACAATTAATAAAAGAAAACTAATAACATAATTTTGTAGGGCTAAAAAATATTTGTATAGTTTTTTTTTTAATATTTTGTCAATATATTTGTTCTAATCTGAATTTTAAAACAAATGCATATACACTACACATAAAACCTTAAATATTTATGCATTTAAGTAGTAGTGTCTGTTATTTACTACATGTTGAGTTTTAATTCAGTCAGTGAAAGAAAATCAAAAAACAATTACGAGTAGGTGTGGGTTCAAAAAGATAACACGATATCGATTCATTAAATCCTGAATGATTTTTAAATATAAATTTATTTTGACAGAATCTCAGGTTAAAGCTCACAAAACTATTTCAACAACCACCAAACAGCTAAAACAGTAAGTGAGAAGCACAAAGATGTAAACGCAGAGCGTGGATCGTCCACAGACGCTCACAGATCCTGAAGCTGCAGGTTTCGTCACTCTGACCAACACTGACTGAACCAGCAGCAAAAGAAGATCAAACTGCGCTTCACGTTTGATAACCATGCTCATGAGCTCCCTCTGACTTTGGCTGCTGTACTTCCAGAAAAACCTGCTTCATGTTTCTCTGTTGGATCCTCAGTTACACCTGCTGTGATGCTCACACCTCTGATGAAGTCTCAGTGTCAGCTTTGGTTTATACACAGATATGAAACATGGATGTGTGCTGATAAATGATCAGAATTAGAATATTTCTGACTGTCAAAACTGAATCGAATCAGTTATAGAAATCAGCGACGATACTCAGCCCTAAATAACGGGCACGGTAGGTGTGGTTCCGCCCCGGGCCGCTGGGGGTCGCTGGAGTTGCTGTGACTGTCGGCTGGCTCCGAGCCAAACAAAGCGGATATTAGGCGGACGTTGTCGGTTAGCAACAAGTCTGACAACAGCGGGCTGCAGCGGGACAGCTGTTAGTCCGAGAACAGCGGCTGACCCGGGTTAGTTACTCTCTGATCTCAACCGCGCCGATATGGAGGGCCGACCGGGGCGCGTGTGCTGCGCGCGACGGATCCACCCGCTGTGAGGCTGTGGACCAGGCGCGTGAAGGAGTCCGTCCACGTCCCCGGCGCGTGTTTAAAAATGATTCATTAGAGCGGAGCTAACGGCTAACGGCAGGATGAAGCACCGCAGCTAACTTTATTTACACTCGCACTCACTACAGGGACACGGGACTGCTGGGTGACGTCATGGACTGCCTGCTGGACTTTGAGGATTGCGTCAAAGACTCACCTGAGTTCAGGTAAGCGCGCGCGCACGCACACACCAATCTGCGCATGTTCACTTGTAGTGATGACGCTTTATTTATTTTATTCAGGCTGGCTCTGGATCAGTTTGAAACAGATGTTTCACAGCTGGAGACAAAACTGGACAAGGTACAAGTACTACTACTATTACTACCATTACTACCATTACTACTTTACTACCACTAATGCTGTAATAAAAACTGTTGGAGACGCATGGAGACAAGGCACAAGTACTTCCACTACAAATAGTGGTAGTACTATTTGTACTAGGCTGCTGATACTGCATATACTAGCGCTAATACTGCTAGACAGTACAAATACTGTAGCTAATACTATTACGATACTAGTTGTAATTTCACAGATAATAGTAGTACTACAAATACTGTTAATACAGCTGTATACTCACTAGTACTGATGAAGTACTGTTAGAAGCTAACTGTTACTAGTGAGGCAAGCTGATTGGTCTGTACTGTCTGTTTCTAAACAATCAGGTGATGAAGCTGTGTGGGAAGATGGTAGAGGCGGGACAAGCGTACAGCACTGCCAATAAGCTGCTACTGAGCGGCCTAGCTGAGCTGTGCACCAATCAGACGAAGGACAGCGTGATCACAGTAAGCAGCTCCTCGATGCATCTGAAAAAGAAGAAATCGCTGCATCCGGTCGTCCAATTTACTTTCAGCTCCTGACGCCCCACAACGTCTGCTCTGTTTCCTCTGAGTTCATTTATCTAACACTACCAGCTAATAAGCCAGGAAGGACTAATGACCTAACATGTCTGCTCAGTTTCTCGGTGGGGTGTTGGGGCATTTCCTGTCTGACTTCCTATTTCCTTCCTCTCAGACCTGCTTGAACCAGTTCCACCAGGGCCTGCAGGAGATGGTCAGCTTCCACACTGTGAGTCCACGCTCAGCTGTACTCGTGTTTGTTCGTCTGAGCTCCAGCAGAGACTCATGTGTTTGACTCGTGTGTGTGTGTTTCACCTGCAGATGCTGTTTGATCAGACACAGAGAGCCATCGGCCAGCAGCTCACTAACCTCTGCACGCAGTAAGGCATCACTCCGGGGGGCTGATCAGTATGTCGGGGTTCCCGGGTTCAGTGTAGAGGCGGTTGCCACAGTAACAGTAACACAGTTTAGCTCTGAGCACCGGCAGAGCTGCTCTGATGATGACACTGCTGCTCTTCATCTCTCTGAGGTTCCTGCCCCAGTTGGCGGAGACCAGGAAGGAGTTTGTCCGGATCGGCGAGGATCTGGAGACGGCAGCGACGAAGAACGCTCAGGTGTCTCGACATAAAGCCGCCGACGCCGAGCGGGCAAGTCACCTGCTGCTCGCTACACGCAAATGCTACCAGCACTTCGCCTTGGATTACTGTCTGCAGGTGTGACACCTGAGTGTGTTTAACATTGATGACATGAAGGAACATCAGATGCTTTATCCTCTATGTCCTAATTTTCAGCTCAACACCTTCAAGACTCAGCAGAAGGTCGACATCTTAAACTCTGTGAGTGAAAACACAACTCGTGGGTCTGTGTGATGTCATAGAGGGGGGACATACCTGATACGACCATCTTCGTGTACTGACTCAAGTTTGCGTTTCCAGATGTTCTCCTTCGTCCACGCTCAGTTCACCTTCTTCCACCAGGGCTTTGACCTGCTAAGAGACCTCGAGCCCACCATGAAAACCATGGCAGCGCAGGTCTGTGACCTCTGACCTCTTTGTGCTGGTTTGTGTGGTAGCCTCGGTGTGGAGTAACGGCTGTGTACACGTATGTGTTTGTGTGTGCTCCACAGCTGTCACAGCTGTCTGCGGACTGCACGGCCAAGAGGAAGGAGCTGGAGAACAGACACCTGCTGGTCCAGCAGAGGGTAAGGAGTCCTCACAGATCAGCACATCTGTCCCAGCAGACGCTGCAGACAGATGTTAGATATGTTGTTCAAGGAGGGACGACTACATTTAGACTCAAAGCAGAACGAACGCTCTGAAACACGCGTGTGTTTGTTCTAAGGACGCTTCAGGTGAGCCGATGGTCAGCGCGTGTCCTGGCAATGATGACATCATCCGGGGTTACCTGTTCAAACGCTCGAGGAGGAAATCTAAAATGTGGAAGAGGTAGAGACCCGCAGTGTCACATGGCCTGCTGACCTTTGACCTCGGTGAATCCTTCTAACTTGTAAACCTGTTTCAGATCCTGGTTCACCATCAGAGACAACCAGCTCATATACAGGAAGTCCCACAAGGTGAGACCCGGCCTCTCAATCAAAGAACAGCTAATCAAAGGGATCGATTTCACTGCCTGATAACTGATCAGCTCAATCAAGAGGTCTGAATTTGTTCCCAGCTGGACGTTCTGTTTATGGTGGTTTAACTTCTGATTGGATTCACACCCTGTTACAGCCATTAAACAGAGTTCAGCTCCTCGGATTGATTACATGTAATCAAATCCAGCCTTAAATCCACCTGCGGGAGAAAATTACTGCCCAGCTCCAGCTGAGATCACAGCTGAACACACCTCACGTGACTTCATGTTGGTGTGACAGGTGTCCCTGAGATTTCTCTGGAAGCTGACCGCTCTTCCTGCTTTCATTCAGAACAATCGTTAGCATGTTTTTGTCTACGTTTATTCATTCTGCAAAATTTACTTTTTTCTTTCTGTTCACAAATTTTTACATCAGAAACTCAAGTTTAACATTTCTAAATCAAAATGTTCACATGATGACAGAAAATTAAAAGTTCAGCTTAAATCTGGAGTGAAATCAGTTTTAAAGTGGACCTCCTCTGATTATTACCTGCTCCGTGACACTTCAACAGGAGAAGCTGTGATAAACTGTGAGTTTAGAGCTCACAGGGTTTACTCTGTGTACTGAGCTCATTATTAATCCTTTGGTCATGTTTGATATGAACATCCATGACAGGAACTAATGAAACACTGAAAAAGGTCCACTTTTAAAAAAAAAATCAGTATTTTTCACTTACTCTGATTCGACGCTAAATTCAAATAAAAACAAAGTAGAAACCCTCCAGACAGTCAAGTTACACTCCACTGGTCCTGGAATCACAGGAAGGCCTCCGGTTATACCACCTCACACTTAGGTGAGTTTTCTGCTTTTAGTGTTTGAAGAAAGAATTTCATGGATGAATGTTAGTCGGAGGAAGAACTGCATAAAATTCAGGATGATGATGATGTTGGTGAGGATGATGATGATGTTGGTGAGGATGGTGATGATGTTGCTGAGGATGGTGATGATGCTGAGGATGATGATGATGTTGCTGAGGATGGTGATGATTATGATGGTGATGTTGCTGAGGATGGTGATGATGTTGGTGAGGATGGTGATGTTGGTGAGGATGGTGATGTTGGTGAGGATGGTGATGTTGCTGAGGATGGTGATGATGCTGAGGATGATGATGATGTTGCTGAGGATGGTGATGATGCTGAGGATGATGATGATGTTGCTGAGGATGGTGATGATGTTGGTGAGGATGGTGATGATGTTGGTGAGGATGGTGATGATGTTGGTGAGGATGGTGATGATGTTGGTGAGGATGGTGATGTTGCTGAGGATGGTGAGGATGTTGGTGATGTTGGTGAGGATGGTGATGATGCTGAGGATGGTGGTGATACTGAGGATGATGGTGATGCTGAGGATGGTGATGTTGCTGAGGATGGTGGTGATGCTGAGGATGGTGATGTTGCTGAGGATGGTGAGGATGTTGGTGATGTTGCTGAGGATGGTGATGATGCTGAGGATGGTGGTGATACTGAGGATGATGCTGAGGATGGTGATGTTGCTGAGGATGGTGGTGATGCTGAGGATGGTGATGTTGCTGAGGATG